GAAGATCGGCAGTTCGGTCCTCGGCTTCCTTTACTCCGCATTTCCAAGTGTCCTTGAGCAAGATACTGAACCCCAAATTGGCCATCGGTGTGTGAATGTGCATGAGTTGATGAGAAGTTGGCAGCCTCTGCCGTCAGTGTATGAAAATGGGTATAGGTATGTTTTCATTAGTGTATAATCACCTGAAAATAAGACCTTAGAATGCCAGCAGAGGTGATGTACTGTGAGCTGAGTTGCACTTATTGTGCATAGTGCAGTGCACCGGATGGACTCACTGATAATTACTTGATTAATTTACAACTATGAGATTGATCCTTGGCAAAAAAAAAAAAAGACTGCTCTGTAAGGACTGCTCGCCTTGGCTGCTAGGCACCTTGTGGGAGTGTACCAGGACAGGTCAGTAATCACTTGCAGCTATAGGTAAATCCAGTTTTTAGGGAGGGTATGTTTCTGCATTCAAACAGGATGTCAGTGGGAGCACAGGAAGAAATTTAAGGGAGAACTTTTCATCCGACAATTTTAAGACCGGTCGAACGTTCGCGCATTGAAAGCAGAAAGTAATGGTTCCATCATGGATACAGCCAATTACACACACCAAACACTGTTCTATTACATGACCAATGCTTTCTGGTATTTTGATCACATCATTGTTTGCTGAAACCTTTTTTCTAGGATTTGCCATTTGAAACTTAATCCAGATCAAGGCTTAGTTTTGTATATTTTTTATTTTTTTTTATTTTTATTTATTTTGCTGTTTATTTCACTTCCAATTTTCTCTTGCTGCCACTCATTCAACTAGAGTAGCTACTTTGGGTTGGGTATATTGGCCCCCGATTTAGTGCTAGAACCGCGAAATTCTGACTAGTAATTGCTGTATTTAGGTTGATTAGCTTGCAGCGGAAGAAGCCTATTGTTGGGAATGGGGGGTTGCATTGCAGTGTGCGCTCGTCAGACAGTCAGGACAGGTTAGCCGTCTCGTGGATGGCTGGCTTTAGTTAGAAAGGCGCGTGAAAGATGCTGGGGAGAATTGGCTCGCCACGGTCATTCGGTTAGATAGTACAGGACTTCGAATCCACTTCCGTGCATGGTCGGCCCCATAGATATATACTCCGCGCGCGTTCGGCGGAATCGGTGACCGCGTCTCGAGTTGGGCTGGTGTGACCGCCGCGTGTGCAGGGGTGTGATTATCCTACTTATAGGCAGGTAGTTCCGGCTCAGGTTAGCTGATTGGGGTCCGGCGGGTCAGTTTATCGCGGGTTAGTACATATATCTCTGTGATGATGGCTATGTATAGGTAGCTGTGCGTATGTATCATCATCTGTGACTGTCATAAGGCGCGCCGTGCCCCGCGGGCGTAGGCGGCCCGTCATCGCATCCCACTCCCCCCCCCGAAGCAAAAAACACCATACGAACCTCCCCGTATATATGATATGTAGTATGGCGCAGCTCATATGTGAAGTGAACTTATACTGGGTCGTTGATTCGCGCCGAGTGGTATATAAGAGGCGCGGGTCGGGGGCGCGGGGAGTAGTGGTGATATGGTCTGATGTATGTCCGACTGCGCGGTACTTAGTTCGGGCGCGCCCGTATGATTATAGTGTATACGTAGCTCGGGTTATGCGTGTGAGTCCGCAGTAGACGTGTGCGAGCCAGCGATTGATTGACGGTCGTGTTACGTCGTTCTAGGTTGAGCGGTGGGTCCGTCAGCTCCCGAGTCGCGTAGCTGGTACTGAGGGCGGTCGCGACGGCCCACCCTACACCGTGGACGTCTTATATATCTCGTTAGTTCTATCAAGCGTCATCTCACGTAATCGTCTTCGGCAACGGGCAGGTTTAGGTTTGAAAGGCTTTAAGTGTAGAGTCACGCTCACGTCTTAATTGATTTGCATTTCGGTCGCTCCCCGGACGCAAGTCTCATCAGAAGTAAGAACGTTGCAGAAGGCAGCTGTTACTGTGCTACTGGGTGTTGCCAGTTCTCAGTTAGGTACGCGACGACTGGGTCCGGTTGCGAGGCGCTGCCAAAGTCGACAGCCCCCACGCTAGTCTGCCGTAAGCGTGCAAAGGTGGAGTTCCAGTACAGCCTTCCCTCCTGGTGCAGGAAGAGAGCGTGGGTTGTGGGAGCGTTCCATTTTGCAGGGGTTTAGGTAGTTGCACTCGACTCGCCAAACTGGTCAGTAAACTTGGAATTGAATCAAGTGCGTTTCATAGTTAGGAGTTCTCTGCGAAGTATTCAGGCAGATCCCGAGAAGTAGCACTCTTCGCAGTCTCAGCAGCTTCGCAGTCTTGCGCATTTGGTTCAGATTTGGGTCGGCTCGTTGTTGGTGGCCGCTCGCATGTGGTGACGGATATTTAGGAAAAAACAGTCCTAGCAGGGGATGTTTAATGATGCGGAGTTTTTCCCTGAGGTTTTTAGTGTTTTCTATCAGAGCGGTTGTGCCGATTCTGAAGAGAGAAGAGGGACAGGGCTAACATTGAGGCAATGCCGGACCTTCGTTAGCAGGTCATGGAATAGGTAAAGAAATTAGGCATGGTTGCTCTCGGAACCCGTTGGCGGACCATATTGTTGTGGGGTTCGGAAACTACAATGACTACGGTATGACAGCCGGTCACCGTACTGGCCATGGATCCGTCTTTTTCGGTCCTGAAAGATTTGCTTTCTTTTCTTGTCCACCTCATGCTGTTGACCTGCCTGCAGCGTGCTGTGATTTCATGTATAGGTAGCGTTTACTGCGGGTGTGTGTCGCGTGGTTCTCGGTTGCATGTTATTGTTTGTCCTGACTCGTTTTATTCGTCATCATTCAGTGGTGTTATTTTGCGATTCTCCGATTCCGGTTCCTGTTTATATGTGGTGTTGTTTAGATTATGCTTTTTCCCACCGCTTTTCGTTTGGCACTCGTCTCCCCACCCCTCACGTTCTCAGCCCTCTGCTTTATTCGCTGCTTTCATCTTCCGTGTTAGGCGTGTACTCGACTTCGCGGGCATTAGGGTCCTTAGTGTACTTCACTAGCGGTGTTCATCGTGTTTTTAAAGTGCCTGCTGTCCATTAGACAATCTCTTTCGCGGAAGTCAATGTTCGTTTGTACCAGAAAGTACGGTCCGGGGCGCGTACGTCATATTTCGGTCTAGAACGCCGTGCGGCTGCCGTCTTGGGACTGTTCCCCTGCGCATTTTGAGATTTGTGCTCGAATTGCACTTCTCTACCTAATAGATTTAATAAGCAGTAAAAGCTCCCGAGCGCGACAGCCCGGGTATGCCGTTGTCACCGCTTTGATCGGGATTTGGGGCATATCGAGCATAGACTTACTTGATTTTGTGTGTGTTTTCCATTTTTGAGTGGATCGATGAGGTGTTCTTCCTTGTTACATATAACGCTTTATCCAGTCACATGTCGATTGCTTGATTTAAAATTGTAACGTTGCCCCCTCGTAAGTTGTGTTGTAGTTTCAATTTCCGCTATGCTTATCGATATCTTTTTTCTCTTTTTCGTTGCCACGGCTTTATGACTTTTTCATTTTTTCAATCCTCCTCAGTGTGAATACCTTCAGTTATGTCTGTTTTACTTCTCCATTAGCTGGACTGTTTCTGTGTTTCCGGACATCGTATCCGTGCTCACTTCTCTTAGATGGATTTCGCTGTCCTCCTCAATCAACATTATTATTTATGGTCATCGGAGGCTCCGGGATTCGGTAACCCGTATTTGCACTTTTGATTCACGTCGTATTGAGTACCATTTCTGCGCAGTAGCTGGCCTTTCGCATCCGGAAGCCCTACTCTCTCAGTGTGACTGGCTCGGGTGCCGGGATGCGCTGTGCGGGGTGGGGTGCGCGTGGGCGGCCGCGTATGCGTCTTGCCGAGCGGTTTGTGTTGGTGTGTGTCGGCCGGTGGGTGGCTGGGGCCCCGGGGGGCTGTCCCGCCCCGCCGGCGC